TAAGAAAAATACCCAGCTCTGGCTGATGGTGCGGGAGAATTTATTTTCACTAGAAAGGGAATGACCCATAACTCATGAATGGCAGCGCTTAAAGTGAGTTATGGAGGTTACTCTCCTGTGTGAGGAAATGGATTGGATTATCCTTCTGCCCAATTGTATGTTTGGTTATTAGCACACAGGTTCTTAATTATGTGTAGCTTTGCCTTTTCCCTTTTATAAAATAAATGTGGATAAAGGGAATGTCAACTAGAAGCATGGAGTGCCTAATTGGGGCTCTCAGAGGTGGCCAGAGAGAATGAAAATAGAAATGTTCTTAAATGATTAAAAAGCAGGAGTCATAAATGTAATTTAAACAGTATTCAAATTGATTAGCTCCATAGTTAATTTATAGTGCCCAGTACTGATAATCTGCAAATACATTGAAAATCACTCTTTTCTTAAATTAAATATTTACCATCTTTTAAAGTTACACTGGAAGTCAAGACATACCTACATGAAGATTAAAGAACTGGCTTTTCTAACATGCAGATTTTATTGCATTATTATGATAATGCTACCATTTATTTTAAGGTAGGTAGAGTAGTTACTACTTACATTGAAAAGGAAATACAATGATGTTTGATAATTATAAACATGATTATTGTTTGTCACTTTATTATACACAGTTACAGAACAAAACAGGTCTTTGTACCTCACAATGTTACGATCTACAAAGAAATTAGATTCCTGTTGAGATTGGGATTCTGGTTACTTAGTGAAAACAATTTTATTCAAAAATTAAATTGGTTCTAAAAAAATTTAATTGGTTCTGTCCTTCTTGGGAGGTTGGGGGTGGTGGGGTGGTGGGGAGGAGAGTTCTAATTGTGCTTCTCAGATCTCCTTCCAGAATAAATTTTCTATCTCAAAAATCAAGGACTTCTCTGAAAATGGCAGACAGCAGACAGCACATTATCCTCAAGCTGGTGAATAGGACGGATTTTTCTCCCTAAACGTCCCTTCTGCTTTCTAGTTTGAATGATCAATAAAATGCCTTGGCTTATCTCTGAAAATAACCTTGTTGACAACACAAATATGGACTTAAACACGCTACCTCCACATTTAAGATTTAAGAAGCCCCCAGTAAATGTCAGGGGGTGTCAATGTGTTTGCTGTGATACTTGGTTATTATTAGTGTTTAACTGCAATCCCCCACCAGCGCCACACTGCCAGCAGCACCATAAATTTTAATGTGAAGATGTGCTCTTCTCTTTTCATATCCAGTGAATTCTGCAGGATCATAATATTCTATATGAACCCTAGCTGAACCTTAGTGTGATATGAAGGAAAAACAAGATTTCTAACAGTGATAGTTGTTCATCGTTTTATAGATTTTTAAAAAACTGGACACTAAGCAACATGAATAATATCACTCTCAACTAAATCCACTCATTCAAATGAATCTCTATTGAGCCCTACAGGATGCAGGGCATGGCCCAAAGTGCTAATGAGTACATTTATGGGATAGTAAAGAACACTGACTCTTAAGGAAACCTTTTTCTCCCCCCACCCCTGGAGAATCTGTCAGAACTCATACATCATTTATAAAACCAAAAAATGTCTCTGCAACCTTAGCACCACCACATACCTTTTATTTTACAGAATACAAACAAAAGCACAGCCATTTTCTTTATCTGGTCTGCATGTTAATATAAGAAATGCATTCTCATCTTTCATTATGTATGTGCTTAATGGAATATTTATTCTACAAGCTTCCACAAACAAAGAGAATTTGTATAATTATTCTTGATCTGCAGGTTTTTATTCCTTGTTTTAACCACAAATAGTAGCTGGCACTACATGCTGTATTTATTCAAGGAATCCAAAATATTTGGTAAATTTTAACTATATAAACATCTCTTTAGAAGCAAAGAATAATATTGAAGCTTTCATTTCAAAATTTGGAATTTCAGGCCAGAGGCATGGAATAAATTAGGAAATCATTAGTAGGGTTCCCAGTGAGCTAAATTTCCACCCTTTTACATCAAATCGCCTATTCTTCAAAGTGGTCCATTCTTTTTTTTCTCCCCTGCCAAAGGAACAAAACCTATTCGTTACCTAGACATGCGGTTGAATACTTTTGCAAAATGTAATTCTGAGTCAGTAAGTTTATTTTTCATATTCAAAATGACTTCAGGGTTAAAGGTTTGGAAGCTGCTGCGTATATTTACAATTTGCTTGTCCTGTTGTACATGGTGTCATAATTTGCTCAGCAATGATACAGGACTATGCATCTTCCCACTCTCAGAGACAATGGGCTTAGAAAAATACACACCCACCCACAGATGTAAGGTCGCATGTATTATTCCTGCTAACAGCTGGGTGGGCAAGGCAGTCAGAATACAGCTCATCCTGATAGGAGGGGCTCTTTTTGGACACACTGGTTCTGTTGGTGCCTCTTTAAAGAAAAGAGTGCTGCAGTGTGTGCCTTATTATCTCTTGTCCTAGAAGAAAAGAAATACTTTGAGGGAAGGTTGGGAAGGTTTTTTCCCTCTTCTTTCCTGGCAACTGGCTGGGAAACTTTGCCTTGGAGCGCCATCTAGAGGAAAACTTAGCATATGTGCGCCATGCTCTTCTGGCTTTGGGACTCAGGCCAAATCCAGTGGTGGGTGCGTGGTGATTTTTTTTTTTTTTTTTTTTTTTATTAAGAGAGTATCTTGTTTCTAATTCAACACATGGAAATGCAATATGAGATAACTCAAATGCAAATACAATCACTGATGAGAACAAAACAGCGAAAGCTCCTAACGGTCTTCAAGAGTGTGAGGAGGTTATCATTTTGCCATAGGCTGAGGTTGTATTACAGAAATTAGAATTGATGAGTAAATTAAATTCACCCTTTTCGTCACTGACCAAGTAATCTTTTTTCATCTCTATAATTATTTTCTTAGTTAAAAAATTGTCATTAACCAGGCTGCCCATGGTCAAGTTGAAGAGACGGCTTGTGTTAGGAACAGAAGTTGACATTTTCAACCTATTGTAACCCTTAGTCAAGTTCAGCAAAATTTAATGACCAGGAAATAATATCTTTTCCAGATGTGGCTTCTCAATTCAACGTGAGGGAGAAAAACTAACATTCACCAATGTATTCTTTTCAAAGTCAGGGTGGGAACGTTAACAGAGAATGCTCCTCTTTTTGAGCTAGCATTAATACAAAAACAAAACTGAAAACCTCTCACACAGTGCTACTCTTCAAGGATGCTGAGCAGGCTTGCAAAAATAACTATACCCTTGGAATATTCTGGAAGTATGAATACCCCCATTGTAGAGACAGAGTTTGAGAGTTCTGTTTTCTTCAAGTTGTTGAAAAGGATCCAGATGGTCTGTATTTTGGAAACATTTACTGAAGAAAACTTGTATGTATTTCCTTCTACTCCTAAGTGTCCTCCTTGACGCCATTGCTCTTGCTAACTTCCCCCATCCCAACTATTTTAAGGCTTGTCATAGAAGTCTGTTTCTATCTTTGACATCTCTAACTCACAGTATCAAGGCCGTTCCTTTTTTCCTTCATTGAACAAGGCTCCTGCTTACTTATTTTTGGCAATCCACCATAAATCCAGAGGTTCTCCAAAATAACACGTTAATTTCTTTATTGGATGTCTTCTGTGAGCTAGACACATAAACTCTGCACACAGAAAATTATTCTCTGTCTATCGAGATCTGATACGGAAAAGCAAGATGAAAGTGGTTAATTTATTTTTCTTAAAGCAACATTGGTCCTCAAGCAATTAAGGCTAATAGTTCAAAGCATCTTCCTCCCTCATCTGACTGACCAACTGCTTTTATGGGGCACGTTGCAGAAGAACAGGGCCAGTCCAGTTTTTCTAGGCCAATCTGCTAGTCCTTAAGCAGTTGAGGAGCCCCAAAACAAGTTCTCAAGTATAAAAGTGAAGACATTTTGGTCCCATCTTTTCATGCTATATGCACACTTGAGTTCAAGTTGATCTAACACACATCTGTTGAAAACGTTCCAAGTGCATGATTGCATGCAAAATGCTGGTGAGGCCCTCAATAAACAAATGTTGGGCAAGCAAGTAAATGTTGAAAGAATAAGAAATTGTCTCTTTAGTTTCAAGCTGCTGATTCTATAGCATGAGAATGAGAGATCTGTGACTTAAAACACACAGCAGAAAGACATGTTGTACTAGACAAAGTGCAGAGACAGAGGTAATTATTGATGTTTGGGGAGAAAGGGGAAGACTTTGGGAAAAAACTGGCATTAGATCAATGCCTTAGCGGAGGAGTAAAATTTTAATAGGCAGAGAACGGGGCAGAGCACTTCATAAGGAAGGTGCAGACGGTCCTTATTCATCTGGCCAAAGGAAAATGTATGTCATTTGGAGTTCCCTATCTTGGGTTTCAATTTTAGTGTGGTTACAAAGATGGAAGCTACTTAAATTTATGTTATAATAATCTGAAACTTGTGTTCTATTTTATACGGTAAATATGTCAATACACATACACATATAGAGTCAGCAGCTTGAAAGTAAACATATATGTTTACATGTAAATACTTATGTTTTGCCATCTTCCTTGGCATTCTCTCAGGACTTCCATGTGCCTGTGGGTAATGCTCACACACCCCTACTATGGCTTTCCACCAGCCTAGAGAGTCTTACCTAGTGATCTCTTTGTTCTGTTACTCATACCCATATCCTCTGCAAAAAGATTACTTTGAAAATCCAAGCATTTCTTTTGTAAAAGGAACCAGTTTCCCGAGATAAAACATTGAAAAGAGACTCAAGCAATCATTCCAAGACTACACCTGCTTCAAGGTGTCAGTGATTTTACAGTTTTAAAGTTCAGAAATTGTTGTGAAATATATACTCCCATAACCAGGGCAGGTAAGTTCTAGTGTAAAATAAATCATATGGCAATTTGTCAGAGAAATTGAAATATGAAGGAGAAGGCTGTAGGTCCATACAAATGACAGATGACCTTCCACCACCACTGAACACACTTACTGTTAACATTGCAAACATCAGCTGGCACACATTGAAGGCGTGTCTCCAGTTGTGGTACAGAACCATTCGATAATTTTTCCTCACTGTCAAGAGCCACCTACATAGTGTCTGAAATGGGAAGGGAGAGGTTGTATCAGGCAGTTGTATGTGTCTCCAGTGGGCTGTCATCAAAACGATGCCTTCTGTCTGAGTGATCTTCAACAACCAAAGTCCTCCCACAAAGCTCCCATGATTCTCATGGCAATCCCATGAGGTGTGCAGGCTGAGTATTATCACACTCAGTTTGGGAAACCTGGCTACCATGTTGTCCCATGTACACTCCTGGGGTCACCCAACATGGAACATCTTACCTCATAGTCAATTTTAAATTTCTGTACCATCCCCAGCTCCATGAACATCCGCAGGGCAGCTGTGATCATGGCGTCAACATCAAGAGAAAAGTCATCAAAATGTATGTCATCGATGGCAAGTTCTGACACCAGAGGGATGTTGGCTGCCTACAAAACAGAAGATATAAGTCAAGCCAAGTTCACCAGCTTTTCCAAAACCCTCATCTTGCTCTCCTTTCCTGCTTATCAGACATGCGACATAAATCAGACCTGACCTGCACTTACACTCTGATACAGCTAAACTCTGAGCTGGAAATGTCTTTTGTTTCTGAACTGCAAATGCCCCAAGCAAATGAAGAGGGTGGGAGGGGGGAAGGAAGCTAATCTGAAGAAAAAATATACACACTGGATCTAGTCTGCAGAATTTAGAATACAAAGCTGCCTAGTTTACTGAAACTGCAGCCATACAATATATACTGATGCATATTACAAAGCACTAAATGCAAGAAACATCTGGGCAGCCAGCAGCTGTGAATTTTAATTGCTGCTATTCAGAGGAGGACATGGGAATACACTGCTTTGCCTTGTTTCTTGTATTCTTAAATCCTTGTTTCTTGTATCCTTATATCCTGTAGCTGTGCACATGCACTTTGCTACCATGTGTTCTGTATATTCAGAAGGATGAAAAGGATCAGACATCACATCTCTGGCACAAAATGTTCTCTTAATAAAATATAATTGTTTGGAGGATCAGCACAAGCATATGTTTCATCAAAAGAATAAATTTACAATATCATTTAGTTTCATTCTATATCAACATCACAACGTTAATTACAATACTGGTCATACGTATTCAGGGTTTTCAAAACACTCACATTAGGCAGCTGTCAATCAGTTGCCCCACACAAATTTAAAGGGAAGAAAAAATCCTTGGGGATCATTTTCATGCTGATTTCATTGAGTTTAACCATATCCTTTGGGCCACTCTTGGTAAGGGAATCATTTCCACCTTTTCAGGTTATCAGAGACATTCTGGATTCATATTTCTAGTCTAATTGCTGGGTATAAATTATGCAAGGGGTAATCTGTACCCTGGGATTATTTTGGCTGAGCAATGAAATCCAACTCTGGACATTCTAAACATTCTGGAACTTCCTTCCCAACTGCATGCTCCTCCATAACAGCTTACATTTCTAGATTAAAATCTAAACACTGGTTATTCCCCACAACACAGAAGAACAATAATAAATACAGTACAGTATTATCTATATGCACATGGTTGTACGATAGGCGTCTAGAACTTTTTCATCTTGTGTGATTGAAACTCTGCACCCAATAAACAACTCCCCATCTTCTCTCCTCTCAGGCCTCTGGCAGTCACCATTTTATTTTGTGTTTCTATGAGTTTGATTACTATAGATACCTCATATAAGTGGGATCATGTAGCATTTGTCTTTCAGTGATTGGCTTATTTCACTTAAGCATAATTTCTTCAAAGTTCATTCATGCTGTACCATATGACAGCATTTCCTTCTTTTTTACGGCTAATATTCCACAGTATGTGTATGCAGCTGACCCTTGAACAACATGGGTTTGAGCTGTATGAGTCCATTTATATGTGTCTTTTTTAAAAAAAAGATTTGTAAATGTTTATTTATTTTTGAGAGAGAGACACACACACACAGAGTGCAAGTTAGGGAGGGGCAGAGAGAGAGGGAGACACAGAATCTGAAGCAGGCTCCAGGCTCCAAGCTGTCAGCACAGAGCCTGACATGGGGCTCGAACCCATGAATCATGAGATCATGACTTGAGCCAAAGCCGGACGCTTAACTGACTGAGCCATCCAGGCACCCCTGTATGTGTCTTTTTTCAATAAGTAAGGCATAGTACTGTAAATGTATTTTCTCTTTCTTTGATCCTCTTTAAAAAAATTATTATTTTTTAGTTTATTTATTTTTAGAGAGAGAGAGTGTGTGTGCAAACAGGGGAAGGACAGAGAGAGAGGGCCAGAAAGAATCCCAAGTAGGCTCCACGCTGTCAGCACAGAGCCTGATACAGGTATGATCTGAGCCAAGATCAAGACTCAGATGCCCCTTTCTTATGATTTTCTTAACAAAATTGTAAGAATACAGTACCTAATAAATACAATATACAAAGTATGTTTAACCAACTCTTTATGGTCAACAATAGGCTATTAGCAGTTATGTTTTTGGGAAGTCAAAAGTTTCATGCATTATTTTGACTGCATGGGGGTTGGTGCCCCTAACCCCCATGTTATTCAAGGTTCAACTGTAATACATTTTCTTTATCCATTAATTTGCTGATGGTTTAGTCTCTGTCTCAATCAGCTTATCTTTTGAGCAATCATTTTCATATATTAGAGGCTTTAGAGTGTTAGAGGTTTTCCTTAGCTATGTGGTCATCTTTGAATTTCAGTTTACAAGTCAGGCTCTATAGCTCCTGTTAGAGCTTCTGCTGCCTTCTCTGGAGGGGGAGTCTAACTGACCTGTTTCCTTGGGAAAGCCACCAAATGCAGGTACCTTTAGAGCTTTGCTCTTTAGCTACTCAGATTCCCCAGAGAAGAATCTTGTGGGTGGAGCCTGGCTGGGAAGGGGGTTGGGGGAAGAGCCTCAGCATGGGTTCCTAGCTTTTCATTCAACAGTGTCTTCAGCCTGCACTCCTACCCTCAAGCTCCATGCTGGTGTCTTCCGAACCCCAAGAGCAGCTATTATACCATCTTAAGCCAACACAGCTCCCAGTGTTTATGAAGTGGGGGTGTGAGGCAAAGGATCTGGAGATGTCACTGCTTCTTAGATTCCCTGTTTTCCTGTACATAGCCCCACCTTCATCCCCACTTCCAAAGGTACTTAATTAGCCAGTTGTGGAGCTATCTAAGAGGGGCTCTGTGGTATAAATTGGTTTGCTTCTCAGCTTTTCCCATTGCTGGTTTATTTTGGCTTTCTTGGGTTTGCTAAATTACTTAATACTCATCCATCTTTTTTCTAGCTTTCGAAATTTTGGTATTGTCCAGTCCTCTCCTAATTTCTTTGCTTTTGAGAATTTATGCCTTAAAAAAAAATCCCTTTATTGTTTTTTAGTGGGGCCCGAGGAAGGAACAGAAGAAAATGAGTTTATTCTACCATTGTCCAAAAATTATTGGAATTATGTTTATTAAATGATGCCTTAAATGATCAGCCTGGAGAACTCAGAAGTAGGCCAACCTCTGGTTTTTAGAAACCTTTGTTTCTCTGTGCATGGGCCTGGCGGCAACCATGCACACCTTTCTCTTATTCTGTACCCCTGTGTGCTCACGTGTGTCAATCCTGACCTTGCCTTTTAGGCTGTAACAATCTTAGAGGTGGCCGCCGTGTTTCTTTCTTGAGGGAAACGCCAGAAGGACGCTCTGCTTCCACCACATGTTTCATGGATGTCTATGTACTTAGAGTATCTGTGCTTGTTGTAGTTTGTTCAAGTTCAAACCCTAATACAACTGGAAAACCACTTCCCAAGAGGGTCGAAGCCTTGTCCCAAAAGACACAAGTTTTTCTGTTCCCAGGGGAAGAGTCTGGTTCTGAGTTGGCAAAGGAAGTCTAACCGCCCCCCCCCCCCGTCAAACCTTGCAGTTGGTTGCTGAGGAGCATAAATGGCAATGGAGCCTGTGCTGCTTTCCAGGTGGCCTCTGTCTTGTAGATTATTAATAGTGTATTCCCTGACGCCATTATAAATCCTCTACACTTCAAAGGCACTAAATTCACTTAATTATCTTAAAAATTAAAGAATATAGGCATTTTTTCATTATGAAATGTTAATGGAAAGGAAATAAGAACATTAGGTTGAAAAATGTAGGGTGACCTCTGGTTCACCAAGACCCATACTTATTGACCTTGTCTTTTTTCCCCTAATAGGTTGATTGATCCACAGTTAAATCATACCAGTCTATAGATCACCCTGAGCCCTGTCGTAAACCCTTGCTGGCACTTGTAGATGCAGAGAAAGTCCCAAGCCTTTCAGAAATGACCAGTTGCAGCTATTTTGAGAAGTACAGATAGTTTTCATCCACATTCCTGGTTTCAAGAGCAGCTTCTGGAGGAAATCATGAAGAATTAAGAGTAGTGTGTGTCCTGAGCAGGTGTGCATGGAGGTCTAGTTTGCAAAAGATTTGGGAAGAGCCTTCGGTTGCCAAATTTCCTTGTTATAGAAATACAAGCTCTGCATGTCTTTTGATAAGTTGAGAACGGGACCACATCTTCCAAACCTATAATTACTGTAGACACGGGATATTAACAAAACAAATCAAAGTCAATTTCTCCAAGTGTCAGTCTTCAACTTTTAAATATTTATAAGGCACCATATCCCTAAATCAAAGAGGAGTGCTACAATCCAAAATAACTACTGAATTAATAGCCAGGAAATAACATTTGGATAAAAGAACCATTTACTTTACTGCAGCAATAAATGAAAACACAGAATTATGAGTCCTGGAGCTAATTTGAATAATGTTCAAGAAGTGGGACTCTAGCTGGCTGGGAGTACCTGATATCCTTTGACCATTCCTCTTCTTTGTTTGGGTCTTAATAGTTAAGTGGTTATCAAAGGGACTCATAAAACTGCCTCCTCTAAAATTGAAAAGGTAGCTTTACAAAGAGGCTGTAAAATGTTAAAATACAATCCTGGATCCCCTGACACATGAATATTACATTTTGTGATGCTCAGAAAATGGGAAGAAACAACAAAGTGGGTGGTGGTCCAGCCCAAGCATTTCAAAGGAAAAATGACTTGTTGCCAATCCAGCCCACTCACTCACTGCCCCCTATGGACAAGAGCAGAAGGTGGGGGCTTTAGGATCCTGGGATTAATGAAGACAGGAGACTGAGCTGTGGTGATGTGGAACGGATCGCAAAGCTCTTATATTGCCACACTTTTATAGCTCTTACTACATTCCAGGCACTGTTCTAGCACCTTATGCATATTAACTCATTTGCTCCTCATAAGGGTCCTAAGAAGGAAGGAATATTTTTAATCCCATGTTACAGATGAGGCAACTGGAACAGATGATAGGCAATCTGTTCAAATTCACACAGGTGTGATTGGCAGAGGCAGATTTGAACCCGGGGCATCTGGTTCTAGAGACTGGCTCCTAACCACTACACTGCCTCTAAAAAATGGGC